CAGCGCAACCGCGCCGCACTCTCGATCGGCCGACCCTTATTGCGCTTATAAGCGTTATAACGATCGGCCGTTCCTTTTGAAGTATGGAGACACCCAAACGGTTATCCGCTCCTACCATAGTTGTTCCACTGCAGATTGGTGCAGAAAGCAACTTTTTTCATGAATACTTGAGAAATTTTTTGTTAATTGTGAAGATCTCAGAACGCAATCATCATTGGGAAAGTGCGCACAATATCCTGACAATGTAGACTATAAAAACTTATGTTTCTAATTAACATAAACTCCAATCCAAGATTTAAATCTCTGATAAACTAGTATACACCTGACAAAATCCAATACACGACTTACCTTGATGTAAAACCTTCCAGGCATCATATCCGTACATCAATGGTGCGAATGCGTCCAAAAAGTTACCGGCCTGCATCTTCCGTGGCGAGCATTAGCCCCGAAGTTGGCTGCGATACATGAAGATGGAAAGCACGTCTATTATCACAATAATCTATCTGTCGTACAGCTTGGAAAGGGTAAAAAACAGGTCGGTTACCGCTCATATTTCCTTTCTCCATCCATCATCACTCCTTAAGGAAGCAGTACAGCATATTGAGCTGTGTACGCGAAACACGAGTGTAAGTGAATGTCGGTAAAGGTAGTGCGTCCTTGAGATAGAGTTTGTATAGTGGTTCGATAGTTAGATAGCTTTGCAAAGGATTAGGCACCGCCAAATGCAATATGTCATAAGCAAAGAGCCATTATTTGAAGTAACACTTTACTTTTAGGATCGAGACGTTGTCGAATCCCTGTATCGCCACAAAAGCACGTTGGAGACGTTGTTTCGATTCATGGATAAAGACAACTCAGGACAAGTTTCGATGCAGGAGTTTATCGATGCTATTCAGGTGACATTATTGATATTGAATTACATACAGCCGCATTATTTTCAGCTCTATCTCAAGAGTCACTTCTTTTTATTGTTGAAACTAGCCCTCGACATATGCATTTTCAAAAAGTGGTAATGCAAAGAATGTTACCTATACAAAAATTTAGTGAATCAGTGGAAGTCGCGGAAAGTTTCCCCGTAGGGAGATTAGCAAAAAGAGATCCTAGCTAAGTGAAGAACTGTTTAAATATTACTGGTATCTTGAGGAATCTCGAGAATTAAATGATAAATAATGAAAACACGTGCCTTTATTAAAATTGAATGTGCTCCACTTTTCAAGAAGCCGAGTCTCGTTGTTGGACCCTCCCCCCCTCCCTTCCCCTCCAGCGTGTTTTCTATGACTTCCTTTTTTTGAAGTGAAGTTGTAACACCATCTCTCCATTTTTTTTCAGGTGCTTGGAAAGTACACAAAACGGACTTTGTCACAAGATTACGTGGCTCAAATAGCCGAGAGCATCGACTTCAACAAGGACGGATTCATCGATCTCAACGAGCTGTTGGAGGCATTCCGAATAGTGGATCAACAGAACGGCATCTAGCATTACTCACCTTGCACAACGAGTCATTGGCTTCTTCTGCCGTTGACGGATTGTAGACGTACATACGCACCTTGCAATGATGAATGTCAGCCAGCCTCCAGGCAGAGATGAGCCATCTTTTTTCGCTCAGTATGGCAGTACAGCTTCTCCACAGCATCAGAATGCCAAGAGCTAGCTACTGTTAAGGGCCTGAAACCACCTCTTTCATAACATTCCATGTTTCTCTTCAGCTCTTGAAATCTCATTCCATGTACATCTAACACGAAGTCACTCTGTGTCTAATTTGGACTTCCAGAAAATGCCTTTGAGATTATATGTCTTGCCTAAT